TCACCAATGAAATCTTCAGCCCTGGCAGCAGAGCTCCAGCACAGCCCCCTGCCAGGTGACATCGTCTGATGCCATCAAGAAATGAGCTGAATTTTATTTACTTATTCTGTTGGAATGTGAGGTTCCCTGCAATGGAGACAGCCCTTTGCCTCACCCACCAGCACCGTGTTTGTTGTGAAATCCTCCCCTTCCTTTCCCCAGAGCTCAGCTGGCTTTCTGCTTTCTTTTGGGTTTTCATTAATACTTTCAGCATCACAAAAAGCAACCTTGAACAAAAAGCCAATTGCAATCCGGTAATGTGATGTTTTCCCTGGGGAAATAAAGGGGTTGGAAACCATAGGTGTGGAAGGTGTAAACTGCTCTGTTAATCTCTGTTTTTGGTTGGTTGTTGATTGTAAATGTGCTGTGGAGGGTACCTGTGCATGTCAGCAGAATTTAGGCTCTTTGGGCACTTCTGAAATGTTTCCCCTTCGTGCCGACTCCCACAGCCACCTACCAGTGCACCATGACCAACGCTATGGTGCAGCTGCACATCATCAGTACAAAAGGCACATCATATTGAAAAGTGAAAATGTGGGGGAGAGTAAAATAAACACGATTTGGTATTAAAAAGAATAGAGGTGGGAAACTGGGCTGCGCTGTTTTCTCCATTTTCATCTTCTCCAATTCAGACTCTATTCGTTACACATTTCCACTTCAAGTGTTAATAAAGTGGCCGCTGCATTTCCAGCCTGTCACACAATTCAGAAGCGGTGTCCCAGCCACCGGGTCTGGCTGGGGGCTGAGTATGAAGGCAGGTCTGGGAGAAGCAGGAAATTGAGCTAACTAGACATTGTAAAAAGATGGTGTTACTCTTCCAATTGTAATTTGTTGAGATAAACATGTCAGAGAAAGGCTGACGTTGTCATCAGGGGAAAGTTGTTCTTCTTCCATTCTTTCTTTCTTTTTTTTTTTTTTTTTAAGATCTCTCTCTTTTTTTTTTTTTTTAAAGATCCTTGTGTTGTGTGTGCATTTATAGCTCCCAGCTTAGAGGCTGAAGCTGGAAGCTCATCAGCCATTCTGTCTCCTATCTGCTGATCTGCTGGCATTGGGGGAAGGGCAGTGTGGGGAAACAGGCATTGAATTCCACCTTGATAAGCGGATTCAGGAAAAGCCATAGAGCAAAAGTGGGGAAGGAGAAGCTTTAGCCAACTGTCTCAACCCAGCACTGCTCAGTGCTCACCAGAGCAGAGGTCGTCACCACCTATAATAACCCTCGGGAAGCCAGATGTATGCTTTCCATTCACCACTCATCTACAAAGTGTCTTCAGGTGAAATCCTGGCTCCTCTGAAGTCAATGGGAGCTTTGCCAGTGACTTTACTGGGGCCAGGTTTTCACTGCAGACAATTTTAAAGCAACCTCCGGGCTTAAAGATAAAACGACAGCGTGCTGGGAGTGGGCGCAGGGAGGAGCAAGCTGAGGAGAGCAGCAAGGCTGTAGCAGCCACATCTGAAAAGCTGTCAGCCTTACCAACAGGGCACCTCCACTGTCCTGGAGCAAGGCTGACACTAAAGGAGCAACCTAGACAAACAGGTGAGCACCTGCATCCTTCAGCTGCTGGGACAGCTGGGTCCCAACTGAACCACAGTGCTCTCACACCAGTGGCAGTGGCACTCACACTTGGTTCATCTATTGGTCCCACCTCCACCTCCTCCGCACTCCTGAAATGAAGTATTGATGGTGGTGTTACATCACATCATGTTATGTTTTCCCTCCCTCTCTCTCCAGCTAGCTTTGAAGGATGTCACCTGGCAGCGGCAATCATCCAAAATGAGGATTTTTCACACTTGAGCGGGTGCAATTAACGTCCTAATGATTTCAGTCAACAGGACCACCCAGGCTTCACACGGTGTCATTTCTCAGCCGGGTGGTGCTTCGTTTCCAGGAGTGGCACTCATACTAAATGTAGGTATCCATGTGGTGCTGGGGTGGGGTTCACCCCGCAAAGCAAACAGCCCCATGCACAGCTTGCTGGCCATAAGCATTGCAAGTGGCACAGTGACCACGGTGTGCTGTTTTTGGTGGACGGGATGAGCAGAGCCCTGGTCGACCCCCGAAACATCTCCCCAGGAGATAGTCCTCAAAACAATTCATCGATGAAGTCATCTGTGAGTTTAACTGTTTGTGAAATTTAGTTGGCATCTACAGCACACATGCTTCCTGTTCCCCCCCCCGGTACAGCCACGCAGCACTGTCACCATACACGAATGCCACTTTTGTCCCAGCATTTTCAAATGGGAGGGACTTTGATTTCTTGCTGCCAGCCAATCGCTGCCAATCGTAGCTCTGCTCCATCCCTCCGTCTTTCCACAACAGCGTAACACATAAAACTTAATGTCCCATGAGGAAATGCACACCAGCTTGGGCCCATCTCATCTGGATTAAAGATGTCTTTTGGTTCAGTCTTTCGTAAGGCGAGGGAGAGCATACATTACCCAGAGCTCAGCAGCAGATCCATGTGTGCACATCTCACCAGGCTGTCGCTTGGACTGTTTCACATTACGGCCTCCTGTCTCCCCCAGGCATCGATTTGTGCCACAGAGCTCTGAAATACACAACTCACGTGCCAGGTTTCCACTTTTCCTCAACAGCCAGGAGCCACCAACAGCCACTAGGCGGGAACAGGCCTTGCCACACCTGGAGGACCGTTCTGCCTCTTTGCTGCCCAATTTCCCCTGCCCCCTACTTCCTGCCTGCTGCCACTGGCTGCCAGCATCCCAGCGATGGCACCAGGAAAGCCGAGGCTGAGCAGTGACATCTGAAGCATGTCAGTGTTTTTATCTCCTTGGTATTTTGATTAGCACAAGGAATGTCTGGGTTAAAGAAAACACAACCTTCTTTTAGAGCCACATGACTGTCCCACACGCTGTTAGGGCTTTATGTAATGCAGAATGGCTTTGTAGAACTTCCCTGCGCATCTGAGCACACGGGTGCTATACAGGGTGCTCCTCAAGGAGTGATCTCATGAGGCAGAGTGCTCAGAACACTGATGTCTGTGCAGATCCTTCCGCAGCGCTCATAGTGGATTAAAAACCCTTAAACCTGAACGGTTGGGTTCTGTGGCTTTTGGTCTCATTTCTAACAGTGTTTCAGTGCAATTATTTTAACCACTTCCCTGTTTGACAGCATTATCATTGGAAGGGCAACCTGTCTGCCTGGAACACGCCAGCATTCTGACTCATTTGTGACTGCAGCCCTTGGACACACCAGACTTGTCCGAGGCCCCCTGTGAGTTCCAGCTTTCCCATGCCCCACACACACTGCTGGGCCAAGGGAAGTAGGGTGCAATGTGCTGCAGGTGGAATCCCACCTTGTGCCTCGGCCACAGCTGGCACCACGCTTTGGAAGTGCATCTCCTCCTCACTTTGCAGCAGAACTGCTGGGGATGTCACTCCCAGGATGAAAACGTTTGGGGTTGGGACCGCTCTTTCTGCTTTTGGCCATTCTGGCACCAGCTCAACCTCCCAGCTGCCACGCACAGCCTTCTGCTGCTCACTCACACAGGCCCCAGTTGCACAGATCCTTGCTTTTTACGTGTCACAGTCTGAACTGTAGAAAACAACCACAAAGATTCCCAATGTCCCATTTTTGGTGAGGTGACTTTCTCTCTCTTTCACATTTCTTTGAGCTGTGTTCTCATTAAAGTGACCTTTGGCTCTTCCAGATTGGACACCACAGTACACGGACTCACAGCCGGCAGTCATCTCACCCCCATTTCCACTGAACCGTTTTCATCTCTTTTCAAACGCAACTTCACTTTAAACTCGGGGGCCTCCCACCTGAGAGACAGCGTTTGTTCTGCTGTACTTCTACAGCCAGCAAAGAGGAAAGCTGTGCCTTCTGCAAGGGGACACAGAGGCGGTATTCCCTGCAGCCCGGAGCTCCGCGAAAGGTGCAGCGACCGCCCGGCCCGGGGGGCTCGAGGCTGGGAGGGGGACGGCAGGCAGCGGCGGAGTTGCGGAGAGAGAGAAGGGAAAGGGGGGGAGCGAGCAGGGGGGAGGACAGCAGGGGAGGGAGGCAGGGCACTATAAAAGCATCCGCCGCTCACCTCTCCCTGCACAGAGCGAGGGGGCGAGAAAGTTGGTGCGGGAGCAGCAGCGGCAACGGGAGGAGAGCCGACCGTCCGCTCGCACACACGCACGCACGGTGGCAGGAGAGAGTGCGGTGCTGCCCCTGCCCAGCCGTAGGAGAGAGAGAGGAGAGATGGAGCCAGGTACCCAGCTCCCAGCGAGGGCAGTCGGCTGAGCCTCCCGCGGCCCGGGGAGCCCGCGGCGAGGAGGAAGAGGAGAAGGAGGAGGAGGAGAAGGAGGAGGGGGTGGGGGGGCTGCCCCCCACAGCCCCCCTCTCACCGGGAGGGGCCGGGCCGGGAGCCGCGGGGAGCCCTGACGGGGGGAGGGAGGAACGGAGGGAGCGGCGGGGCGGGCGAGGACACGGCGGCGGGGGGGCAGCTCGGGGGCCACCCCCATCCCTTCGCGAGGGGGGAGCCGAGAGCCCCCAGCTCTCTCCTCCCCTCGGGGCTTCCCCGCCATGTGAGAGCCGCCCCCCGCCTCTCCTCCCTCCCGCGCACACGCACATACACACACGCGCGGCTCCCGGCTCCCCCCGGCCCCGCGGCCCGCTCGCTCCCTCCCTCCGACGGCCCACGGTGCCTCTGGCTTGCAGGGCTGCTCGCGGAGACGCCGCCTGCCCGCGGCCCCGCCGCTACCTGCCGCCCGCCGCCGGGCAGCCACGGGATTCCCGCCGTCGCCTCCGCCGCGTCCCGCCCCGACGTGGCTCCGCCGTGGTGTGGCGGCCCCCGCTGCTGCTGCTGCTGCCGCCGCTGCTGCCCCGCCGACGCCGAGAGCGGCGCGGTCCCGGCGGCCGGCCCCGGGGCTGCTCCGGCGGCGGCGGCGGCGGCGGCTCCGGCGGCGGCGGCCGCGGCTCCTCCTCCTCCTCCGCCTCCCCCTCGACCGCCGCCGCCGCGGGGCCCTAAAGCCGCCCGACTCAAGAGGATGGTGCGGCTGGCGGCCGAGCTGCTGCTGCTGCTGGGGCTGCTCCTGCTCACCTTGCACATCACCGTACTGCGCGGCGGCGGCGGAGAGCCGCAGGGCCCCGCGGGCGCCGCCAACCACAGCCAGCGGCAGGTGAGTGCCGTCCGGGGGGAGCGCACCTGTCCCGGCCGCGGCGGAGAGAAGGCGGAGCCGCCGCCGGGCGCGCTGGGGCGGCAGCGGGCGTCGCAGCCGCGGTGCGTGCGGGGCTGCGGGGGCGTCCCAGCTGCGGCAGTCGGGGAACGGCGCTGGGAATGGGGAGTACCGCACCCAGGGGTTATCGGGACGCGGGCGGGAGAGGGACGCCTGCGGCTGATGCGGAGCGGGGCTGGGGGCGGCCCGCCCGCCCGTCCCAGCCTCCTGATCTCGTGGAACCGACGGTGAGTTACCTCGGTGAGAGATGAAGGACTCTTTCGGTTCTGCGTCCGGCGGTTCTGTTTTTATGCAGCGTCCCGTTTTGTAGGCGTGCGGAGAGGCGGTGGTGCGGGACCGTCTGGGCGCCGAGGCAGGGCTGCCGCGCCTCTGGTCAGGTGCAGCAGTTCTCGAACTCCGTATCCTGGAGTTAGAACAGAAAAGCCACCAAACCACGTGAGAAGCTAATGGAAAACGTGTAATCATCACCGGCATAAATTCACGCGGCCCCCCCGGTATCGTGTTAGACGGAGGGAGGCATCGGCAGAGCGCATCTTTATAAACGTGAGGAGGAGGTGCTGGAGACCCCCCAAATCCATGGGCTCGCTCCACCTCCCCCCGGTGCGGTCCCCTGCCGAGCCCAGCTCCTGTGGGGGGTCCCGCCGCCCGCCAGGGCTCACTGTGGTGCCCCTCTGCAGCTGTAGTGCTGGCCTGGCCCTACGGGAGATTTTTGTTTAATATCTTCACGATTTTGGCTAATAACATTTTACAAACTATGCTTTCTTTCCTCACGGCTGCTCAGAATGCCTTTTTAAAAGGATGTTCCTTGGAAAAGTAAATGCGGAGAGGTTTTTTATGAGGTGTTAGCTATCATTAGGATAACCCTGAATTTGCCTTTTCTTACCGGCTTGTAACGTAATGAGGGAAACAGCTGGGCTGTGTGTGCTGCATCCCCGAGGAGCTCTTCTCAGAGTGCTTTTGTGGAGTTAAGGTGATAGAGGAGGAAAATCGGATAGTTATCTCAGGGCGTTGTCATTCTGCCTTGGCCATCTCATCCAAATCTGTTCATTGTCAGCTTGGAGCATTTCTTCTGTCCGGTTATTTCATTTGTACTGAAAACTTAGGAAAGTGTGTGCCTTCAGGCACCATGATGGCTTTAGCAGTTTGTACTTTGCTATTTGTAGAATTGAAATTTTTATGTACTTCCCAGCGGAATGGATTCTGCAGCTCCGTATCTGAGAGAGCACGTCTGTGCAACACATCTCAGGAGGGAGATCGGCGGGTGATCGGCGGGGCAGACGGCAGCCTGTCCGCTTCTTCTTGGGTTAGGGCTGCCAGGGACTCCTCTGCCAGATGAAAAGCACTGTAACCGGCCTCAAAGGTTGAGCTCTGGCAGGCGGACGCATGGCAGCACAGGGCGGGAGGGGAACTTTGCATGGGTGTCTCCGGGTCGGGGGCTGAGCGCCCTGTGGCTGTTAGCACGGCTTGCACTGAAGTGAAACACAAAACCGCAGCGCATCGTGTTGCCGGGTAAAGGGTCAACGAGCAATAAACCCACACAAAACTGCATTTAAGTTTGTTGGTGTGAACAAATAGACACCTCTCTGTTGTTACTGCTGATACTAAAGAGCCCCAGTGTTGATTTAGAATATATACGGATATGTGATGCAGCGAACCTCTGCTTCATGTATACAGCTAGCTGGCTGGCTCGTCACTCCATCCTGCTGGCAGTGCTATCAAAGCAACAGGTGTTCCGTGGGGCTGCACTTCTGAGTGTTCCTATCCTCTGGTTTTCCTTTCTCTTTGTCAGTCTCAGTATGTCTGTGGAAAGAAAAGATTGTGAGAATCCAACCAAGTGTCGGTGTTTCATCTGAGCAAATGTCATCATCATTTGCTGCGTAGATCATGGCGAACACAGAGAAGGCTGCTCTGTGCAGCAGCTGCTTGGGGAAATGCATTCTGACAGTGCAGATTCCTGCATTAAAATTAAAATGTTTGTGTTTATTCCTGGCTAATATCAAAAGGAAGGTATGACTTTTTAAGGCTTCTGCAGTCAGTTTGCACCAATAAAGCAGTCTGAACTTGGTCCTATGTGTCCGGAAGAAAATCTGAAGCATTGGTCCCAGTTAAAAAAGTAGAACCAGCAGGCAAAATCCTAGCATGTTCTGAAACAGGGACCTGTATGTGTGTAGTCAGATCCATGAAGAGAGGAAGAGCTTTTCTTTCTCCCAGCGTTGCTCCTACAAGCAATGGAAGGATTTGAGAGAAAACACTTTGTTTTTTTTTTTTGCCGCCCAGTTATGTTTGAAATGCTGATGGAAGAAGGAAATCCAGATAGAACTTCCACCCTACAATTAAACAAGCTGCTCCTATTTCTGCTGCCATTCCCGTGCTGTCCCTGTTCCCGGCCACCCGGGAGAACGGCCCTATGTGCTCTGCTGGGGCTGTTTGGGTGGGTGGGATACAGCCGTGGGTATCCTCACTTTGCTGCTGCAGAAAGAAATAGGCTCTGCATCTGCATCGCTGCGGTTTCGTGCTGCTGCAACATAGGTTTTATGGTAAACTAATGTGAAATGGGAAATGTGTTTCGGTGTTTTCAAGGCTTGCTTTTCCCTGCTGCCCGTGGTACTGGAGGGGTCCAGCAAATCGCAAAATGCTCTCACTCAGATACAGTGGAGTAGTTCAGCTTCTGGCTCTCTCAGTCCAAGCAGGACTTAGGCTGTTTACTTCGGGAGAGTTTTAGGCTGAGCTTTTCAAAGCCTGTTGGAGCTCTGGGGCTTTATGTTTGGTTACTTCTCACAGAAACTGATTGTCTAAATAATCTTTGAAAAAATGTTGATTTAGCTCTTTGCATTCATGTTTCTCAGACTGTCCTTAGCCTTTATAAGATGCCGATAACTGAATGTACATCATATATCTCATATGAGCACTAAATCCTTCTCTGCCTTAAAAGCAGTTCATACACTGCACAAATGACTTTCAGAGCAGGTGTCCTGTGAGTGAAGCAGGCTGATACTTGAGAAACCAAGATCTCTTTTGGTGAGGTTGTTACTCATCATAGAGGATGTCCTGGTTTGTGCTTTTTGACAGTGATAGTCCAGTGATAGATAAAACCTGTCTGTTCTCAGCAGGCTTTGTTGTATAATTTCTTAGCTAAAGCTCACCCTCACCATTAGCATATGTTCTCCCAGTTAGGCACTAAGCCTTATGAAATGACTTGCACCATGTGCAGTTCATTCTCTCATCTCCTAAGGAAGAGAATTATGTGTGCTCTTTAGTGGTTTTGCCACTGGGCTGTGGCTTGTTCCAGGATCTAGGGGGAAGGAAGGGCGATTAACTTTACGTGTGCTGCTGCTGCTGCGTTTATGGAAGCTGAGAAATGGGGGTGGAGAAGCGAGGCTGCTGCTCTGAGCAGAGCATTTGCTGTTGTCCATAGCTCCAAGGAGAGATTCCTCCACATGCCAGTCCTGGCTTCAGGAAAACTTCAGAAAATGTTAAGTTACGTACCTATCCTGTTGATTCACTTCCCAGTAAACAAAAGCATTCCTGATGGAAAAGAATTACTGCACCTTCAGGGTGAGATGTAGCAAGCTTCTTGATAAGTAGCTAAATTACTACTGCAGTAATTTAGAACAGGAATCTAGGAATATTTAGTTATGGCTGCAAGGAGCAGTGTTAGGCAGGCACAAATGTAATTTCCGATGTTAGATTTGACCAAGATATTTGGATGACACACATTCTGCTGAATTTCTCTCTAGCTCAACAGCTGAGAGTAACCGTACTGCTCATCTTGTATCTTCAGTGATAAATACCTGGGATGAAATCAGTGTCCACCTCAGTTTCTACAACTGTATCTCAGAGCAGTTTTCTCCTAGTGCCTTGTACAGAAGACTCTATTGAAGTGCTTTATTTCTGTTTTGAGTAAGATTAGGATCATTTTTTCAACTCTTCATAGTACTGTATGGAAGAAAAACAAACAAGCAGACAAAAACAGTGAGTGTCTTAAAGCCATTCTGGGTCTGGAGCAAGAATGGTTGAAGGGAAGCCTGCTATTCATGGCTCAGAGTCCTGCTGATGGATTTAGGTGGCTGACTGACAATGATATCGGGAGTGGTAGGTCTGAGTCTGGCTCCTGAGGAAGTCCAGAGCCTTACTGATGATGCTTGGTGATAATGAGATGTAGAGACAAGGCATGGGTACCTAAAGAACCTGGAAGGAGCTGGGTCAGCAGTACTTCTGTTGGCTCACCTAACCTGGACTAATCAGCACTAGTTCTTGAGTAGTTTTTATTTTGTGGTCACCCTGTAAACATAAGTCTGTTCTGCACAGGAAGAACACAGCTATTCTGTCACAGCTGTTACAGCAATATAACGACAGTACAACAGTGCTGACCCCTAACTGTTATCTGATTGGAACAAGAACCTCACCGCTCCTCCAGCTTATGTTGTCAGTCCCTACATTCAGCCATGTTTCCCTGCTCTGTCCTGGCTTACGCCAGCTGTCCACAAAAGCAGGAGGCCTAGGGTGGAAGCTCTGCTCTTGGTCTTCATGACCCCAGCAAATTCATTATTGTTTTGCTGTCAGGCAAGAGCTGGTCACTGTGAGCTCCTCTCTGATTTTAACATGCATCTTATGAGCTGCTAATAGGTAACCCAGCCCTGGTGCTCAGAGCTTCATCATGCTAAGCTTTTCAATACCTTGCTCTGCTCTGGAATTGTTTTGTTGGGAAGAGATCTATTTAACTAATTCCAGTTATACTAAGTGTAAATCGGGAACCTTGTTTCAAATGTGGCAAGTGTTTTGTCTCCACTCATACCTGCTATGTCTGTATATTAATGATCAGTGCCTTACTGTTCCAAAATGATGAGACACTTCTTTAAGGAGCAATGAATCATTAGGTGGAAACTCTGGCTATGTTGCGTTGCAGCATCTGCAAACCTTACAGAAAACTTAACAGCTAGTGAAGTGCAGAG